TCAGCTGATGTGTGACAAGAAGTGGTACCTATGCATTCTCCAAGTAATTCCTATATAAATATACACAGAACTAAAGGTATAACCAGACTGAGGAACATGAAATACACCAAACCAATCCATAAATGAGCTAATGAAATAAAGTCAGTGTAAAAAGATAACATACAAATGTACAATAAAGAAGCTCTAGCTCCTACAATTGGTATTGGAGGTCCTTCCGTTTGTGTCTTGCTTTCATTGGTTTATGAATAAAGAAACTACCTTGGTCTAGTTGATAAGGCAGAACTTAGTAGGTGGGGAAGACAACTGGATTCTGGGAGGAAGAAGTAGAGTAAGAGACAGAGACGCCATGGAGACGCCAGAGAAAAACATGCTGAAACTTCCTTCGTAAACCACTGCCATGTGGTGATATACAGATTAATAAAAATGGGTTAAATCAAGATGTGAGAGTTTTCCAGTAAGAGGCTAGAGATAATGGGCCAAACAGGATTTAACTAATAAAATTCTTGTGTGGTTATTTCAGAGCTAAGCTAGGTAGGCAGCTTAGAAGAACAAACAGGCCCTCTCCCTACAACATGCAATCATTCTGTTCCCTCTATTATAATGGTCCCTGAGTCTTGGGACCATTAAAAAGGATATGATACAAATGTTTTCTATCTATATTTCTTTCTTTCTTTCTGTCTGTCTATCTGCTTGTCTGTCTTTCTGTAATTAGATACAGTATAAATGCCAGTTTTTTGGCTGAAGATATCAGTGCCAGATATTCTCTCCATTTTGACCATTTTGACTTTCTTCATTAGCCATGATCCACTGGAGAAAGGAAGCTCTCTAACAATGCTCAATGTTATACTAATATATGTATAGCAAAAAAGGAATTTAGAGGGAAGTTGAACACTAAGTCCATCAATCAAATTAATATCATTAGGTAGACTTATTTGCATGCGAGTTTCTCTGCCTTTGGTTCTTGGTCAGATTTGCAACAACAGGCATGGGTTTCTTCCATGTGGAAGGCCTTAAACCTAATTTTAAAATACTATTGGGTAACACTGTGACATTTGTGTCACTCTTGGTAACAAGATGAAATCTTGAATCCAAGGTTATTATTGCAGCTCATAGTGTTCACAGTGGGGTAAGAATCTGGTAGCTTTTTGGTCTCCTCAGCAGCTCCTATAACATCTTTCAGAACTATGAAAACTAGCCATCAGTCTCTTTCTGATCTATAGTCAGCAATGACTTGATTTTTCTAAATCCTTTGACAAATGTGTGTAGTGTCTTTAGAAATGGCATGTCAACATAAAATTCTGGAGGAAAATTCTCCTGATTTTTCTATTGTTATTGTTGTGATAAACATCAGGGCCATAAGCAACTTACAGGCAAATGGATTATTTGAACTTATGGTCAAGTGGCTTAGAGTCAGTCATGGTAGAGAGAAAGCAAATGACGGGAGCAACAGCTAAGAGCTCACATCTTGAACTATAAGCAGAAATTAAAAACAAAAATGGAATAGTGTATAGCTTTTAAATTTCTCAGCTTGCACCCAGCCACATAATTCTTTCAGAAAACTGAAACCTCAGAAACTTACAGTATCACCAAAAGGGGATCAAGTATTTAAACCATGAATTTATGTGACATATTCTCATTTAAATGAATATAGCAACTAAAAACAATGTCAATCGCCTGTGTTGTTTTGGGGATCTCCAATGTACCTCTGTTCAGTGTCTTGAAAGGAGATGTCACAAACTTTATAGGAATAGGAAACTCAGAAAAACACTACCAAATACTCAGACTATTTGCAATTATACCAGACAGTAATCTTGGAACTTAACCATTATTTTACTTTCACAGGATTCCAAAGAAACAACATTGCACCCATGACAGCTGGAAGCAATTCTAGAAGATGACATACCCTCTCTCAACAAAGTTTGTCCTCAGGCTTAGGGACATCATTTGGCGGTTAATTATTATTGGTATATGGTTGGGGGTTCAAGGGAAGTTAGGTAGGCTCAGGGATGACTTTAAAAAATGGAGGGGGGACTTGGATGGGATAATAGATTAGTGTAAGCTTACTCACACTAATAATAATAGTGAGCAATAGAGTGAATATTTGTTAGCCAATTTTTATAGGCAATTTATATTGGTGTATATTCTTTGCATATTGATACAAATTTAAATTATATTGAATATGTTCCTATTTTCATCCACAATCTTTGTATATCTAGGCAAAGTTTTTTGTCATATTGTATGCATGCATCCTTCTACCTCTGCTTAAAACCTTTTTGTATATTGATACAATTTTAGGGTATATTTATCTTATTGCAATGTATATCTCTTCCTTTGATCGAGATACTTATACATTGTTTACCTTTTGAGGTCATTGTCCTCCTTTGTTGCATAGTTGTTTATTGTATAATATTCTAATACGAAGTCTTAGTTTTTAAGTTATATAGGTATTAAGAATTATAGATCAATAGCCATCTATTTTTGTCATACTTATATTTAGACTTATCAGGTTCTTTAGATACATAGTGATTATATTCTACATAGACAGGTAATTTTCAACTACTTCAAAGAACTGTAGAATATGGCATTCAAATAACTTAGGTTCTTGTTGAAGTGAGCCAAGATTGCTCCTGTCAGCAAGGATCTATTCCTGAGAGAATGTTGAGCACTGAAGACACTCCAACTGGAGCTTGTTTTCTTCTTGGCAAAACAGGCCTTTGGGCAAGAAACTGTTCATGCATCGACCACTGACAAAATGCATGATATCCAGATAGGACAAGCAGGATACAAGAAAAAAGACTGTCAAATCTTGCCAAGACAGAATAAGACAGTTTTGAAAAATTTCTTGCCTCTGAAAATGGTCTGTCAGTTTCTCTAGGCCTTAGCCAAAGCTGGTTACTCTAACACTGAAACAAGTCTTTATGTGATTGCCCAGGTTTCTAGTTGTCTCTGACATTTGTTGCACATTTTGGAAGTTGTTTGATTACACTTCCTGCTTACTCAATTAATATTATTTCCCTTCTCAGGTCTTTGATAGGGTTGAAGACTAGATAGTTTTAGTTACTTTCCTCTCTTGACTTGACCATAATTTTTACTATACAAAACTTAAACTTGTTAGGATAGGGTAACCATTGAAACATTTTACATATGTCTCTTACTTGATATATTTGTTATTATTGTATGTAATCTTTTATTAGGCTTAGAACTCCCTTATTTAGAACAAAAGGGGGAGATGTTATAGGAATTCCTATAGCCAGTAACCTTTAAGTTCCCCTCCCACTTGGGTGTGGCCTCTTATACTATTTATGTTGATGTAAAGCACGCATCCAGCCTCTTTTCTGACTACAGGATTCAGTGGTTGTTCCCCATTACAGCAGAGGATTGTGATCTGTGAGTCGACTTCTCAATAAATAACCCTCAATTATTCTCAATTCTGAGCTAATGTGGGATTTCTTTTAAGAGTCCTACTTCATGAATTTGCCTTGAGACGACTTATTTAAAAAGTTCCATAATTAAATCCAAAATATACAGGTCTAGTTATTGCTTATAAATGTCTCTAAAATTTGACAATTAGTTACTGGGCACAGTTTTTTTTTTATACACTAAGGAAACATAAGCAACAGAAAAGCCTCAGGCAGTAAAATCCCTGGTGCTTAACTTTGGACCTTGTAAACCTCACAGAGGATAGAGACAGGAACCACTTTTCCAGTCTCCCTTCATTTCCTGTGTCTAGTTGCTGTCTTGACAGCATCTGGGCAGAGCCTTGTCAGAGGAACTTCCTCATGGAATCTGAATGCTCATCTACCACTCTGTGTGCCACTGAGTCACAGTGAACTGTCTGTTTTAATTCACTGCTGCTATCTCAAACCATTTAACCAAGGATGTACACAAAAGGAGCTGCATAGCCACTTCCCCATTACCATGAAGTTTATATCTCTGAACATTAGCCACTCATTTGCTGGAAAACTTCTGTTTGATTGGTACTCTGAATGTGTCTTAATTATCTATGCTAGGACATGAAGATGAAAAAATGCTTATTCACACTGAGGTTATTTTCATTACATACACAAACAATCTACTACTGGTATCTCCAAATAAATGAAAATGCTCATTGTATCTGCTTGGGTTTACTGATAAAATTACTACTTTCACATTAAAACTGTATTTCTGGAATTCCTTTTGTATTTACACATATTTTAAAAAGAGATATGATTAATAATTCAGATGCCAGATACTCTTTAAATAGTGATGTGATTGTTGGTTTAGGTCGAGAGGAACTGCCATTGTCCTGGTGTCACTCACTCAAGTGTCCTGAGTGAAGTGTTCTACAGATCATGTGAGAAGGCAGAACTGTCTTCTAAGTCTCAATGATCAAAGAGGGGCAGAGGTACAGCTGGTAGATATTGGAAGAAAAGGAATGAAGAGACAGGGAAACCAACATTCCTCTTAACCTGCCAAAAGCTGCAGTGTGATACTCCCGATGTGGAGGGTGCCATGTATCCTGAAGAAGCTGCTTTAATCGTGGGTGTTTGTTCACACTCATCACTCAAGTCAAAATTCTTGAAAGTCAGCAGGGTCAGGCTCAGAGTGCAGCGCCGTCTGTCCTTTCACAGATATTTTTCTAAAACTTTCTTGGGCTCCAGGACAAGGGTACTGAAGACTGAATATATTCTACGACTTCTGATGACAAATATGGCTGGACGGCCGTGGCAAAGACACAGGTGTGAGATGTGTGGCATTCAAATATATGTGCTATAAGAATATGCCAACTTTTGTGCATCTTTGTTTTCAGACTGAAACACACCTGAAGAGAGTGAGGCTGCTAACTAAGTCAGTATAATTTCTCTAGTTACTGTTCAAGAGTGAAAGATAAAACTATTATTTGTAATCCACAACAGAGCCATGTGTTGAGTGGTAGGTTTTTATTTTTTGTTATATTGCTCAGGTCTGTCATCACTAGTCAACCCTTTCTGATGATGATTGTGGAAAACTGAAGCAAATGCCATAAAAAAGCAAACATGGAGGATCCCAAACTGAGAAAAAGATGCAACCCATTAAGTCTGTGAGTATGAAAGCACCTCCATCTTCATAAGGGGTTGGAACTCCAAGCAATGCACATTGCTGGGATGAAGGTGTTATATGTGCAGCTACTGTGCAGTTCCTTTCTTTGTACTGCAGGAGCACTGATACAGTAAAGTCTTATTTTTGTACATCATTAAAATGGTCCAGATAATTTAAAGTAATTAATTTAAAGAAATGACTACTCCAAAGTCACAAACACATCACAAAGAAAACAGATTTCTTTGGTTTCTGATTGAAACCAATCAGAATTCTTTCAGTGAGTTAAAGATTTATAGTCCCATCTCTGTTGAATAATCCCTTACAGCAGAATATTTGTCTATTTCAACTCCCAATATATCTTTCAAATTATTATTAAAAAGAGAATTTAAAAACATTTGAAATGTTATATATAATTTAATTCTTTTTTTGTTGTATATAATTTTAAAACCTGAAAAAGAAGTCTAATCTTTGGAGGTATTGTGCCTGTGTTACGGGACTCGCAAACAAAACCACCACAGAGCCAATATTCGATGCAAACACATTGTGGTTATTAATTACAAGTTATCTAACTAAAACCATAATCTGTCACTCCAATGCTGGAGGTGGGGAAGAATGGCCCGAAGCTTCAGGTTAAGGGGATTTTTAAAGTGGAAACTGCAGGCAGGGTGGCACAAGCCTTGGAATTTTAGGATTGGGAAAAAGGATAGAAGTTTTGAATTCATTGTTTTGGGTATAGGGAATTTAAAACAGTCAAATCAGTAGTTAAGCAAGTACCTACAAGGACATTTGAAGTAAGCAGATGTTTGAACACCCTGGTGGGTCACTTTGATCAGGGCGGGAACAGTTTCTTGGGAATGTTTATAACTTTGCTTGACTGAACTCCCCCCGTCCCCTAGTTAGGTCCTGTCTAAAATGGATTTCTTTCTCAAAATGGAGTTTGTTCTGCTCCTTCAGCTGCATATATGTGGTTTAACCTTGGGTTTCTAGGGATTGTGGGCTTTTTCCAAGTGGTTGAGATGAGCAAGCCTTGCAGCTGTGCCCATCACTAACTGGTTCTCAATGATTTGCATGCACTCACTGAACAGTCTTGAGGACTTCCTTATATACCAGTGTCACCCTGTGCAGCTGTCATTGCAGTCAGGACTCAGCATGGACATGAGGGCCCCTGCTCAGCTCCTTGGACTTCTTCTTCTCTGGCTTTCAGGTGCAAAAAGTCCTAAAATGGGAATTTCTTTGTTACTCTGCAATTAGTGCTGTTTGGCATTTAGGACCAGTCCTTTCATATCATGCTTAACTATGTGGGAATTTATTATGTCTTCACTCGTAGGTGCCAGATGTGACATCCAGATGACCCAGTCTCCATCCTCCCTCTCTGCATCTCTGGGAGACAGAGTCACCATCACTTGCAAAGCAAGTCAGGGCATTAGCAATTATTTAAACTGGTATCAGCAGAAACCAGGGAAAGCTCCTAAGCTCCTGATCTATTATACAAATAGGTTGGCAAGTGGGGTCCCATCGAGGTTCAGTGGCAGTGGGTCTGGGACAGATTATTCTCTCACCATTAACAGCCTGGAGTCTGAAGACTTTGCAACTTATTATTGTCAAAATGGTATTAGTACCTCTCCCACAGTGATTCAAGTCATAACATAAACCTCCTTGGAAGCAGAAGTGAGAGACTGGGCTGCCCCAGCTACTCCTCCTCATGAGTTACTCACTGAAATTGTTTCTCAGATGTCACAGAATTTTTAGAATAGGTCACAGAGAGTCAGAGATTCATTTGTTTTAGTTGAAGAGGCTAAGCAGTTTTTCCTTACCCTAAACATCTTCCTTTGTCGCCTCAAGCACTACAGACTATCAATGCCCTTTCTGCTTAACAAAGGTCACAGTTACTGTCTGTGAGGATTCTGAATTGGAACCCCAGCTTGGACTCATATAGAACTGTGGAAACTACTGTGACTGTTCCAGAATTCATTGTATAAATATGGAAAATTAGTTTCTAGGTGACAATTTTTTAAATGGCAGAGGAATATTACTGAGAGAGTCTGACAGCAGAAAGCATTCCTGGATTTCCCACAACAGCTGGAGCACAGGTGTCAGAGAAAGTGGATGCTGTCCACCATGATCCTTTGTTATGTATGGAAATTCCAAGAGGGTGTTGGTGCTTTCTGCTGTCTGCAGCAATTCACAGAGAGCTCTAATGGCACCTATGTCCCCTGGTTTGCTTACAAAAATCAAATAATGTTATATGTAATATATTTTTTAAATTGGTCAATATTGTGAATATAGATACATTCTCTATTCACTTGTAAGACCTTTAATGTATAGGGCAATTCCACTATCATTGGTGTAACAAGATTCTTTTGTAATTACCTCTAAATGTTTATGTTGAGATTCCTTTTTTTATTAATTTGTATACTAATCCTATTTGTAAATATTTATTTTCATGTTTTTCATTTGCTCTATTCTACTACACGTGGTAGATTGTGCTATTGATTTAGATACAAATGGTTACAATGTACATTTTGGTGTATTTCTGTAATCTGAGGTATAATATACCCCATATTTTTAACCGGATATTATATTTCCCTGAGCTTTGTAGACAACACATGACAGCAAGGTAATGTTGGCACGATGCTTTACTTTCTTAGAGATTTATCCTGAGTACCTATTACTCCTGTGGTTGTTTGAAAGAACGTAGCCCCCAAATACAGTAGCATTGTTAAGGAAGTGTTGTCTTGTTTGAAGAAGTGTGACATTGTGGAGCTCGGCTTTGAGGTCTCAAATATGCTCAGGGTAATGTGTCTCACTACACTTTCTGCTTCCTTCTGATGAAGATGTATCAATACCCTGTCTGCCTTCATGCTGCCCTATTTCCTGCCTCCATCATCAGCCACATTCAGAGAGTTCGGTTTGATCATATGCTCCATCAGTCCTATTCCAACTGGCCTTGGCGATTTCCCATTAGGTCTGTCCCACCATCTCAGTTGGTGAACGCACCCTTCGCGGTCCTGACTTCCAGTGCTTGTGTTCTCCTCCCTTCTGCCCCTCATTAGGACCTTGGGAGCTCTGTCCAGTGCTCCAATGTGGGTCTCTGTCTCTATCTCCATCCATCATCAGATGAAGGTTCTATGGTAATATGCAAGAAATTCATCAGTGTGGCTATATGACAAGGCAAGTTCAGGCACCCTTTCCTTTGCTGCTCAAGGAACAAGCTGGGGACATCTCCTTGGACACCTGGAAGCCCCTCTAGAGTCAAGTCTTTTGCCAACCCTAAAATGTATCCCTTAATTAAGATATATACTTCCCTGCTCCCACATCCACCCCTCCTTCATCCCAACCATCCCATTCCCTCAAGCTCTCCCCATCCTCCCCTTCTCCCTTCTCTCCCCCCATCTCCCCTTATCCCTACCTCACCCTCAGCCCCATGCTCCCGACCCCTGCCTGGCAATTTTGTCAACTTCCAATATCTAGGAGGATAACTATATGTTTTTCTTTAGGTTCACCTTCTTATTTAGCTTCTCTAGTATCACGAATTATAGGCTCAATGTCCTTTATGACTAGAATCCACTTATGAGTGAGTACATACCATATTCCTCTTTTTGGGTCTGGGTTACCTCAGTCAGTAAAGTGTTTTCTGTTTCCATCTATTTGCATGCAAAATTCAAGATGTCATTGTTTTTTTTTACTGCTGAGTAGAACTCTAAATCAAGACCAGGTAAACAGTTCAAATAGACCTGTAAGTTGTGAGGAATTAGAAGCTGTCATCAGAAACCTCCCTACCAAAAAAAGCCCTGGACCAGATGTTTTCAATGCAGAATTCTACCAGAACTTCCAAGAGGAGCTAATACCTATATTCCTTAATGTATTTCACAAAATTAAATCAGAAGAGTGATTGCCAAACTCCTTTTATGAAGCTGCAATAACCCTGATACCAAAACCACACAAAGACTTAACCAAGAAAGAGAAGTACAGACCAGTCTCACTCATGAACATCGATGCAAATATCCTCAATAAAATACTGGCAAACCGAGCCCAAGAACACATCCAAAAAATTATACATTTTGGTCAAGTAGGCTTCATCCCAGAGAGGCAGGGCTGGTTCAACATATGAAAATCTATCAATGTAATCCATCATATAAATAAACTGAAGGAAAAAATCATATGATCATTTCATTAGACGCTGAAAAAGCATTTGACAGAATTCAACACCCTTTTATGATAAAGGTCTTGGAGAGAATAGGGATACAAGGTTCATTCCTAAATATAATAAAAGCAATATACAGCAAGCCGGCAGCTAACATTAAATTAAATGTAGAGAAACTCAAAGCCATCCCACTAAAATCAGGAAGACAAATGTTTACTCTTTGCATATCTATTCAACACAGTACTCAAAGTTCTAACTAGAGCAATAAGACAACAAAAGGAGATCAAGTGGATACACTAGGAAAGAAAGAAGTCAAATATTTGTTATCTGTAGATGATATGATAGTATACATAAGTGATCCCAAAAATTTGAGGAGTGAACCCCTACAGATGATAAATACTTTCAGTAATGTGGCACAATACAAGATCAACTCAAAAAATCAATAGCCGTCATATACACTAATGATAATGGGCCTAAGAAAGAAAACAGAGAAACATCACCATTCAACATAGTCAGCAATAAGACATAGGCAGACATAAGACAAAGGATTACCTATAGTCCATGACCCCAAGAAGCTAAGTATCAAGGAGAACCCTAAGAGAAACATACATGGATCCTCCTGGGAAGGGGAAATAAACAAGATAATATTGGGAACATGGCAATCAAGGTAGAAGGGAGGATCAAAGGAATGAGGAAGGAAGAACTAGAAGGGGAAGGAGAACTTGAGGAAGTGGAATGTTCAAGTTGGGGTAAGGACAGAGAATGAGAGCAAGGAAACAGTTATCTTGATAGAGAGAACTTTGTGGGGCTAGCAAAAAAAACCTAGTACTGGAGGAATTTTCAGGAAGTCACAAGGATAATTCTAGCTAAGACCCTAAGCAATTGTGGAGAGGGTGCCTGAATTAGCCTTGTCCTGTCATAAGATAAATGACTATCTTTAACGTTATTATAGTTTCCTTTGGGTATATAACCCAAAGTAGTATTTTGCTGGGTCTTCAGGGAGATTGTTTCCTAATTTTCTGAGAAATTGCCATACCGATTTCCAATGGCTGTATAAGTTTCCACTCCCATGAGCAATGGAGAAAAGTTACCCTTACCTCACATCCTCTCTAGCAAAAACTGTCATCAATGTTTTTGATCTTGCCCATTTTTCAGGTGTAAGATGGAATCTCAGAGTTGTTTTGATTTGTATTTCTTTGATGCCTATGTATGTTGAGTTGAGCATTTTCTTAGGTGTCTTTCAGTCATTTGAGATTTGTCTCTTGAGAGTTTTCTGTTTAGATTTATACCCCATTTCTTTTTTTGGATTATTTGTTCTGTGGATGTTAAGTTTCTTGAGTACTTTGTATGTTTTAAGATCAGTCCTCTATCTGATGTGAGGTTGATAAATATCTTTCACATTGTGTAGGTTGCCCTTTTTTTTGTTGATGCTATTTTGCTTTACAGAAGCTTCTCAGTTTCAGGAGGTTCCATGTATTAATTGTTGCTATCAGTATCTGAGGTACAGTGATTATATTTAGGAAGTGGTCTCATGTGCTAATGTGTTCAAGTGATACTTCCCAATTTTTATTCTATGAGGTTCATTGGTTAGTTTTATTTTGAGGTCTTTCGTCCATTTGGACTAGACTTTAGTGCACAGTCATAGATATGGATCTCTTTGCATTCTTCTACAGGTTGACATCCAGTATGCTAGCACCATTTGTTGAAAATTCTTTCTTTTTTCTATTTCAGACATTTAGCTTCTTTGTCAAAAACCAACTTTTCATAGGCATGTGGATTGATAATCCAAGTCTTTGATTTCATTCTATTGATTATCCTATTTGGTGTTATGCCAACACTAGTTGAAGGAATCATTCCTATCACAAGGACATGTCCCCAACTATGTTCATAGTGGCATTATTTGTAACAACAAGAACCTGGAAACAACCTAACTGTCCCTCAACTGAATAATGGATAAAGAAAATGTGGTACATTTACACAACGGAGTACTACTCAGCAGTAAAATATAATGACATCTTGAAATTGGCAGGCAAATGGATGGATCTAGATAAAAATGTATTGAGTAAGATAACTCAGACCCAGAGAGACAAATATCATGTGTACTCACTCATAAGTGGTTTTTAGACATAAAGCAAAGAAAAAACAGCCTACAGTCTACAACCTTAAAGAATCTAGACAACACACAGACAATAAGAGAAACAATGAAAAAATGGGATCTACTGAAACTGAGAAGCTTCTGTAAAGCAAAGGACACTGTCAGTAAGACAAAAAGGCTGCTGTAACATGAGGGGCCGGCTTGTTGGGGTTTCTGTCCCTCCCAGTACTCCAACAGCCGGCAAGCAACAAAGAAAATCACACACAAGACTCCATAAGGTTATAAACTGATTGGCCCATTAGGTCAGGCTTCTTGTTAACTCTTATAACTTATATTAACCCATTATTCTCATCTATGTTAGCCATAATGGCTACGTACCTTTCTCAGCTGAGCAGGTTACATGCTGCCTCT